GTGGTCCCAGCTACTTGGGAGGCAGAGGCAGGAGACTCGCTTGAGCCCAGGAGTTGGAGGTTGCTGTGAGCTGTGATGTCACGGCACTCTACCCAGGGGGACAGCTTGAGGCTCTGTCTCAAAAAAACAAACAAACAAACAAACAACAAAGAAAACCCAGTTCCTGGTAAATTGTAAATGCCACATAAATATTCATTTTGTAAACACTACTTAAATATTCATTAAATAATTAGGCAGCACCTAATTATTTAGGTGGGTGGGGTGGGGTGCCAGCCCCATATACTGAGGGTGGCGGGTTCAAACCCAACTAGCCAAACTGCAACAAAAAAAAAAGCCGGGCCTTGTGGTGGGTGCCTGTAGTCCCAGCTACTTGGGAGGCTGAAGCGAGAGAATCACCTAAGCCCAGGAGTTGGAGGTTGCTGTGAGCTGGTATGACGCCACGGTACTCTACCGTGGGCGATAAAGTGAGACTCTGTCTATACAAAAAAAAAAAAAATTCATTAAATAATCTACAAACAACAAAAATTTCATTAAATAATCTACAAACAACATGCCAACTTGGGAAAACCAGTAAGCAAAGGACTCAGGAAATTCCAAGTTCATTATCAAAGCTCTTCACTCACAGGGCTTTAATCCAGATGCCCTTGTTGTCTCCTTGCTGCCATCCCAGTGTCTCCAGGGAGTTAAGTAGATATAAAGCTCCAATTCCACCTCTTAGGCATTTTCCCTTCCCTAGAAGGCCCATAATCTCCTAGCCTGTCATCCTCCTCTCCTCAAAAGTGATTAAGGGGCCAGCCTCCAGAGAAGATTAAGAGTCTGTGGGGTGCATTGGGCAAGAGTACTCTACCCTGAATTCAACCACCTTACACTCTTAAGAATCACCACCATGGCCCTTGTGCCAGGAAGCAGTGAGGAGGATGGGCCTTGGACTAGAGATAGTCCAGGCTCCTCCAAGCATCCCGAAAGTCCCAGGCTGATGAATTCTCTCTGGAAGGACAGAGGAGAGATTAGCAGGGTTCAAGGTTACCAGGATTTTCAGGTTAGTACTTCCCTACCCTGTGTCCTGCAGCTGGCTCATCCTCCAATTTGTCCCAGCCTCCCTGCTATCTCTATTCAGGTTGTTTCTCAAAAGTCCCACCTGCCCTCTATTGTGGTGGAAGCCTCTGAGGTGAATGAAGAAGAGAGTGGGGATCTCCAGTGGCCCCATGAGGAGCTGCTGCTGCTCACAGATGGTGAGGAAGAGGAGGCTGAGGCCTTCTTCCAGGACGAAAATGAAGAGCCAGGTGAAGGAGGTGGATGGATCAGTGGGGTCTTTGTGACCTAGATGTTCTGGGCAGGGCCAAGATGGAAAACTCAGTCTTGTTCCATGCATTCATTAGTGCCAGATACACAGTAGGCGCTCAATAAATGTGGTAAAGAAAGACGTGGGGTGGGCAGTGCCTGTGGCTCAAAGGAGTAAGGTGCCGGCCTCGTATGCCGGAGGTGGTAGGTTCAAACCCAGCCCTGGCCAAAAACCACACACACACAAAAAAGACATGGGAGAGAAAAATCAAGGCAGTTGGTTTGGCACCCAAGCTCAATGGTTGGGTCGCTGGCCACATGTACTGGGGCTGGAGGGTTTGAACCTGGCCAGGGCCTGCTAAACAACAATGACAACAATAACAACAACAACAAAAAATAGCCCAGCGTTGTGGTGGGCACCTGTAGTCCCAGTTACTCGGAAGGCTGAGGCAAGAAAGCCCAAGAGTTTGAGGTTGCTGTGAGCTGTCATGTCATAACACTCTACCTACCGAGGGTGACATAGTGAGACTGTCTCAAAAAAAAAAGAAAATAATGAAGGCAGTTGGGAAAGTTGGTGAACACTAGAGGACAGTTCTGGTGTCAGAATGGGTAATAACCCTTAATTTGTACTTTTCCTTGTTTTTTTTTTTTTTGAGACAGTCTCACTATGTCACCCTTGGTAGATAGAGTACAGTGACGTCACAGCTCATAGCAACCTCAAACTCTTGGCCTTAAGTGATTCTCTTGCCTCAGCCTCCAGAGCAGCTGGGACTATAGGCACCACAGTGCCCTTTTGGTTGCAGTTGTCATTGTTGTTTAGCAGGCCCTAGATGTGTTGGAACCCACCAGGGACGATGTAGGTGGCCAGCACCCTACTCACCGAGTACAGGCTCCAAGCCTATACTTTATTTTTTTGAGACAGTCTCACTTGGTCACCCTTGGTAGAGTGCTGTGGTCTCTTAGCTCACAGCAACCTCAAACTCTTGGGTTCAAGTGATTCTCTTCCCTCAGCCTCCCAAGTAGCTGGGATTACAGGTACCTGCCACAATGCTCACCCAGCTACCTAGCTACCTTATTTTTTTTGGTGGAGACAGAGTCTCACTATGTCGCTGTAGGTAGAGTGCCTGATATCATAGCTCACAGGAACCTCAAATTTCTGGGCTTAAGGAATTTTCTTCCCTCAGCCTTCGAAGTAGCTGAGACTACAGGTGCCCTCCTACCGGGCTATTTTTTTTAGAGACGAAGGGTCTCACTCTGGCTCAGGCTGGTCTCGAACCTGTGAGCTCAGGCAATCCACCTGCCTTGGCTTCCCAAGTGCTGAGACTCAGGCATAAGTCTCGCCCAGCCTAATCTGAACTTTTGATAAATATTAACGTCTTAGATGTTTTCCCTTCTAAACTTTTCCATGTGTATATATATATATATTTTTAGACAGAGTCTTACTCTGTTGCCCTTGGTAGAGTACATGGCGTCACAGTAAACAGCAACCTCAAACTCTTGGGCTTGGGGGCAGCACCTGTGGCTCAAAGGAGTAAGGCACTGGCCCCACATGCTGGAGGTGGCAGGTTCAATCCCAGCCCCAGCCAAAAGAAAAACTGCAAACAAAACAAACAAAAAAAAACCCTCTTGGGCTTAAGCAATTCTCTTGCCTCAGCCTCCAAGTAGCTGCGACTATAGCGGCCTGCCACAATGCCCAAATATTTTTTGTTACAGTTGTTGTTTAGCTGGCCTGGGCTAGGTTCGAACCTGCCAGCCAAGGTATATGTGCCTGGTGCCATAACCACTGTGCCACAGGTGCCAAGCCACCCATGTGTATACTCTTATGGAAGCTACTTTTTTTGAGCATTTACTATGTGCCAGGCACTGTGCTAAACACTTTTACCTCGTGATTTTCAGAACCACCCAATGAGGGAGATACTCTCTTTGCAAATGAACATACTGAGGCTATGTAGTTTGGCTTTTTTTTTTTGCGGTTTTTGGCTGGGGCCGGGTTTGAACCCACCACCTGCAGTATATGGGGCTGGCGCCCTTCACCTTGAGCCACAGGTGCTGCGCTGTAGTTCAGCTTTTAATGGTATAATTTGCTTTAATTTAATTTATTTATTTGGACGGGGCTGGATATGAACCCGCCCCCTCTGGCATATGAGGCCAGTGCCCCACCCCTTTGAGCCACAGGTGCCGCCCTATTTATTTATTTATTTATTTTTTTGAGGCAGAGCCTCAAGCCGTCGCCCTGGGTAGAGTGCTGTGGCGTCACAACTCACAGCAACCTTCAACTCCTGGGCTCAAGCGAGTCGGCTGCCTCCACCTCCCAAGTAGCTGGGACTACAGGCGCCTGCCACAATGCCTGGCTATTTTTTGGTTGCAGCCATTGTTGTTTGGCAGGCCCAGGCTGGATTCGAACCCACCAGCTCAGGTGTATGTGGCTGGTGCCTTAGCTGTTTGAGCCACAGGAGCTGAGCCTATTTATTTATTTTTGATACAGAATCTCAAGCTGTTGCCCTGGGTCGAGTCCTGTAGTGTTATAGCTCACAGCAACCTCAAACTCTTGGGCTTAAGCAATTCTTTTGCTTCAGCCTCCCAAGTAGTTGGAACTACAGGCACCTGTCAGAACGCCTGGCTAATTTGTTGTTGTTGTTGCAGTTATCATTGTTTTAGCTGGCCTGGGCTGGGTTCGAACCACCAGCCTTGGTGTATGTGGCTGGCGCCCTACTCACAGAGCTACAGGTGCCACCCTGCTCTTTTTCATAAGCAAAAAATTACACAAACTAGTTTTACTTTTTATTTATGTATTTATTGCTCTTACCCAGGCTAAAATGCAGTGGTCACATCAGAACTTTCTGTTGCCTGCTGCGAGGCGAACTACAGGCACATACACCACTATGCCCAGCTAATTTTCATATATATACACAGATTTTTCAGATAGAGCCTCAAGCTATTGCACTGGGTAGAGTGCTGTAGCATCACAGCTCACAGCAACCTCAAATTCATGGGCTTAAGTGATTTTCTTGCCTCAGCCTCTCAAGTAGCTGGGTCTACAGGCGCCCGACATAACGCCCAGCTATTTTTTGGTTGTAGTTGTCATCCTTTGGCAGGCCTGGGCCTGATTTGAACCTGACAAGTCCAGTGTATATGGCTGGAGCCTTAGTTGCTTGAGCTACAGGTGCCACCCCATTTTCTTATATTTTGTAGGTGCCTAGGCTGGTCTGGAACTCCTGGCCTCCCAAAGTGGTGGGATTATAAGCATGAGCCATTGTGCCGGCCAGTTTTTAAAATTCAACATTCCCAAACAAGCAGACTCAAGAGAAAAAATAAAAATTCAGTAATATATTAAAGACATTTTTCAATTGCTAATGGGCTCTCCCCTCTACTACCAGGCTGGGCTTGGAGCCCACAGGACCCCAGGTTTCCCTTAAGAACATTTAATGTTGGATTCAGCTGGGGCCAGGAGCAGGATGACCAAGATGCCTCTTGGATTCCTGAGGACACAGAGTGTGAGGAAACCCCCAACCTCTGTTTTTGGGACCCAAGCACAGGCTCCAGTGTCTGCAGAAGCCACTTTGTGGAATATTCTCATCTCTTGCCTCCTAGTAACTTGGAGGGTAAGTATTTTTCTCCCTCAAACATATCACCTAGGTTTATTTATGAAGCCCTTCTACCCATCCTCATAAAATTCCCCTTTTACAGGTAAGAAAAATGAGACCTTAGAGATCAGGCACCTCAATCACACACGTAAATACTGGGATTTAAACTGAGGTGCTATATGTTGCTTTTAGGAGCTCCAGTTAGTTTCTTTCTTTCTTTCTTTTTTTGAGACAGAGCCTCAAGCTGTCCCCCTGGGTAGAGTGCCATGGCATAGCTCACAGCAACCTCCAACTCCTGGGCTCAAGCGTCTCCTGCCTCTGCCTCCCAAGTTGCTGGCACCACAGGTGCCCAACACAACGCCTGGCTATTTTTTTTTTTTTTTTTGGTTGCAGCCATCATTGTTGTTTGGGGGGCCCAGGCTGGATTCAAACCTGCCACCTTAGGTGTATGTGGCTGGCGCCAAGCCTCCAGTTAGTTTCAAGTAGGTTATGATCCACATGCGCCTCCTCTCTTTAGCACTCATCTTCTGCCTTGCTCTGCTAAATGTTTAACTATGTTTGCATATAATCCCCAGAACTCCAGGTATTATTTCCTCTCTGCAGACAAGTCAACTGGGGTACAGAAACATTCAATAATGTGCAGCCAGCTAGTAAATTTATTAGCCAGAACTCAAATTATTTTCCAGTCATGTATTTTGCAAAGACAATGCTCTTTCCAGCCTTCTTTGCTTAACAGAAACACCAATTAGGGTCGGACTAAAATGTCTTTACTAAGAGCCCTGAACCAAATAAGCAAAGTAGGTGATACCCCTGAAGGGGCCCAGCTCCTGTACAGTCACAGTCCAGCCTTGGGATCCTTGCTCTAGGCAGGGGAGCCGCACATCAGGGTCCTCATCTGAGAACTGAATCAGAGTACCCTGGGGGCTTAGGACCCTAAGACATTCTGATAGCAGCTGGTAAGCCCCAGGCAGACCAGCTCGGGCAACAGCATCCCAGGTACCCTTGTCCAACAGTAGCTGGAAGGAGCCTGTGGAGGCCACAGGTCCCAGGTTCTGGGCATCAGCCTGTATGAAACGCAGGCAGGAGGCAGGGTGCCCAGGGCAGAGACGTGTTTGACTTTGGCCACCCTCCAGGAGGTTGTTCATGTGGGCCACAGCCACAGGAGAGAAGTCCACCCCCAGCACATCCACTGGGTATGGGGATTTGGTGTAGAGGCCAGTGCACAAACTAGAGGTTCCACAGCCCACATCCAGCACCCGCAGTGGACTTGCAGCCTGTGTTTCCTTCAGCAAGGGCAGTAGGAGCCCCTGAACTTCCTCGTATCCAAAGAACCAGTCGAAGGTGGGGACACTGCCTAGACGAGGCTGGGCATGGAGTCGATCCCAGAGGCAGCGGTGTGCCAGGCAGCTACCAGCCAGGGTACCTGTGAACACGAGTGGAGGGTATATGTCACCTAGTATCCAAATTTCTATCTCACCACTGCAAAAAATGGCATATATGTACTCTGGGGTTCCAATGGACATGATTTCAGGGATTAGGCTCCTGGTCATTAAGAACCCACCTTGCTGGTTTGGTGCCCATAGCACAGTGGTTATGGTGCCATCTGGCAGATTCAAACCCGGCCTGGGGAAGCTAAACAACAATGACAACTGCAACAAAACATAGCCAGGCATTGTGGCAGGTGCCTGTAGTCCCAATTACTTGGGAGGCTGAGCAAGATAATCACTTAAGCCCAATAGTTTGAGGTTGCTCTTTGCTGTGACACCACGGCACTCTACCGAGGACAACATGGTGAGACTGTCTCAAAAACACAGAAACAAAAAAACCCCCCTTCGGTGGTGCAGGTGGCTCAGTGGGTAGGGCACTGGCTCAATATACCCAATGGGTTTGAACCCACCCCGGCCAAACTGAAAAACAAACAAAATAGCTGGGCTTTGTGGCAGGTGCCTGGAGGCTGAGGCAAAAGAATCTCCTAAGCCCAGGAGTTATTGGCGGTTGCTGTGAGCTGTGACGTCACCACACTACCTAGGGCGATAAACTGAGACTCTCTTTTTTAAGAGACAGAGTCTCACTATCGCCCTTAGTAGAGTGCAGTGACATCACAGCTCACAGCAACCTCCAGCTTAGGCCATTCTCTTGCCTCAGCCTCCCAAGTAGTTGTGACTACAGGCGCCCACCACAACGCCTGGCTATTTTTTTACAGTTTGGCAGGAGCCGGTTTTGAACCCGCCACACTCGGTATATGGGGCCGGTGCCCTACTCACTGAGCCACAGGCGCCGCCAAGAGACTCTGTCTCTTAAAAAAAGGAAAAAAAAAATACCACCTTGCCCTCACATTCTGCCCCCACCCTCCCTACCCGCCGAGGTGCAGCGTGCCCCTGTCACTTGGCTGGGGAGGTGGAACATTAGGCGCAACGCGGCCATGGTAGGTCCAGGCAAGGTCGACCAGACAACCTTGTGCGGAAATGTCAACCACACTCCAGCTGGAGGACCGAGGTCCAAAAGTGTGTCTTTAATTCAGCGTGACAGAAGAATGCGTACAGCCTCCCGGAACTCTGCAGCCTCGGAATATAAAACGCAGATACAAACGGACTTCAGCAGAAACGGCCTTTATTGGTTTCAACGCAGGCGAGAGGGGATAGGACACTCCAGAGGCAGCGGCGTCCGCAGACCTAAAATCAAAAAAGGAGCGTTGGGAGGCTGACGCAAGAGAAATCGCTTAAGCCCAAGAGTTTGAGGTTGCTGCAAGCTGTGACCCCATCGCACTCTATCGAGAGCGACATAGTGAAGACTGTCTCAAAACAAAAAAGGAGCGAAAATCAAATCACCCCGAGAAGGAGCCCGCTGGATCTCGGTTCTGCGCAGTTCCAAGAAACGCAGTGTCCCGGCGTTTGAGGATAGGACCGGCAGACGGGAAGCCGCCGGCACCGAAGACATGACGCCGAGTGGGCCAGAGCCCTTTCCCTCTACCTCCGCACATAACGGGGTACGGGACTACACACCCGGGCCCCGCCAAGAAAAGGAGGGTCCACACGCCCAACCCACAACCCCCGCCCTACCTCCTCGGTCCCTCAACAAAGCAGACACTCACCCACCAGCCACCCTCGGAAAGACCTCTGGGGCCGCTTAAGCTCCTTTATATAGCTCCCGCCCATCCCCCGAGCTGCGATTGGCCCTCGGCGAGCTGAGGGGCGGAGCTCTACAGACTCCTGGTGGAGCGGAAGTGCAGGCCGGCTTGGCGGCGGTACCATGGGAGGCCCCGGGGGAAAGATCAACCGTCCCCGCACGGTGACTGTGGTGGGGCCGCGATTTTGTTTTCCCATGTCTCCTGGAGCCCTCTTGTCTCGCCCGAGTTGGGATTGATGGGGGTCCGGGGACGTCGGACTGCGCCGCCGCAGTCTGATTCGCATCTTCCTCCTCTGCAGGAACTGAAGAAGAAGCTGTTCAAGCGCCGGCGGGTGTTGAATCGGGAGCGGCGACTGAAGCACCAGGTGGTTGGGGCTGTGATAGACGCAGGGCTGATCACAAGGCACCATCTCAAGAAGCGGGCGTGAGTACCGGACCCTCTTCCCTTTAGTCCTCCCGACCGAGTCTTCCCTTCTTACCGAGCTCCGGATCAGCTTTACTTGTGCACTCACGTTTATGCGAGAAATACATATTTGTTGTGTTAGTTCCTACACTCTGCACGCCACTCAATGAGGGTAACTGACAACTTTTCCTTGGGTCTTGGACCATATTGAGAATCTCAGAAAGTTGTCGACTCCTCCACTTTCAGTAACATTGCACTTTCACATAAATTTTTGTAAGTAAACTTATTTTTACACAAAGAAAAGCGCACATATAAGCGCATACCTAAAGTTACACGTAGGATTTTGCCTAGAAGTTTCATGGCTCGTATTGGGGACGAGTTAGGCACCCACCACAACACTCCACTGTTTTTTCTATTTTTTTTTTTTTTTTTTTTTTAAGAGATAGAGT